CAACCAGTGAAGTGTCTCATAAACAACGCTTTTGTCCCATGGGTGTGTGACGTAGCCGAGGAGCTTCAAATCCCATCAGCTGTTCTTTGGGTCCAGTCTTGTGCTTGCCTCGCCGCTTATTACTATTACCACCACCAGTTAGTTAAGTTTCCGACAGAAACTGAGCCGGAGATCACAGTTGACTTCCCTTTCAAGCCATTAGTGATGAAGCATGACGAGATCCCTAGCTTTCTTCACCCTTCCTCTCCGTTTTCCTCTGTGGGAGGCATCATATTAGAACAGATCAAGCGACTTCACAAGCCTTTCTTTGTTCTCATCGACACTTTTCAAGAGCTGGAAAAAGATACCATTGACCATATGTCCCAGCTCTGCCCTCATGTCATCCTTAACCCTATCGGTCCGCTTTTTACGATGGCTAAAACCATAAGCTCTGATATTAAGGGAGATATCTCCGAGCCAGCGAGTGACTGCATAGAGTGGCTTGACTCGAGAGAACCATCCTCTGTTGTTTACGTCTCTTTTGGGACTATGGTTTACTTGAAGCAAGAGCAGATCGATGAGATTGCTCATGGCATTCTCAACTCCGGGTTGTCCTGCTTATGGGTTGTTCGGCCTCCCTTACAAGGGTTTGACCAAGAACCACAAGTCTTGCCTCTAGAGCTTGAAGAGAAAGGAAAGATCGTAGAATGGTGTCCACAAGAGAAAGTGTTGGCCCATCCTGCGGTTGCTTGCTTCTTAAGTCACTGCGGATGGAACTCAACCATGGAGGCATTAACTTCAGGAGTTCCCGTGATTTGTTTCCCGCAGTGGGGAGATCAGGTGACAAATGCGGTGTACATGATTGATGTTTTCAAGACAGGAATGAGACTTAGCCGCGGAGAGGCTGAGAAGAGGATTGTTCCGAGGGAGGAGGTTGCTGAGCGACTGCTTGAGTCCACCATTGGAGAGAAGGCGGCGGAGCTGAGAGAAAACGCTCGGAGGTGGAAGGAGGAGGCGGAGACTGCCGTAGCGTATGGTGGATCATCTGAGAGGAACTTTCAAGAGTTTGTTGACAAGTTGGTTGATGTTAAGACAATGCCAAACATTAATGTTGTCTCGTAAGTCGTAAATATCAATCATATCGATGCTGGTTATTAATTTACACTTTTACCGGATTATGATTTTAAATTATTTACCATGTACTAAATTTTATGCATCAATAAACAATGGTAAGTTGAATCTTTGATGATGGCACGGATACAAATATAGTTAAGGGGGCATTTGATCTAAAGGTGTAGAGACAATTTAGTTGAAAATGGTCCAGTAATCATCACCATCTCCGCATAAAGTGATAGCAACGTTTACGTTAGGAGATGAGATCAAATTCGTGATTATTAGAAAAAACTAAAAGACAATTTTATTCTTGACTCTCTACTTAGTTCAGGTGCTAACCTTAAATAGTTTATGTCTCTTGTTGTCCAATGTGTGAATGTTTCGGAAAATTTAGTTAGGTCGAAGACTGCTTTGTTACCATTTTAGAAGTTGATTATAGATCATGGTAAAGAACTTGTTAATATACTCTGTGGTGCATTTGATTAGTCTTAGTTGAGACTTTAATAATGTGAAAAGACAAAACAATGACAATGGATTGACTGATATCAATTAAAGAGTATTTAATATACCATGTGGTTGCCATTATTTGGCTTTGACTATTTTTGAGACATCAATATCTTCCAAAAATACGAGCATCACATAACTGAATAGTTACAGTGAATCCTCCTATCAAAAATTATCGGAACCGAAAACTGAAAGGATATCCGAAAATTCAAAATAAAATTATATATCCAAATATATTAGTTATATTTAGTTATAATATAATACTACATAACAAAAATAACCAAAATAATCTAGATAAAACTATATTATTAAAATTAAACAATGTTTTAGTTTTTTTTATTAAAACTAGATGTTAATAACCAAATTTTATTAAAATTAAACAATGTTTTAGTTTTTTTTTCCAAAAACCGATCCGAATCTGACATCTATCAAAACCGAAACCGAACCGGATAGTTACAAAACCCGAACGGATAATAAACTCTCCTACCCGAATTATCCGAATCCGAAAAATCCGAACCAAATCCGATCCGAAATCCGAATGCCCAGGTGTAATTAGGATGTCTCAATTGTATACAAATTCACTCGAATGCCTTCGTTGGTGATAATCCAAGTCTTTCTCTTTTTAGAGACTTAGTAAGATTCAAATCCTATTATATAAAAGTTTGTAAACAAAAATACATAAAAAGATAAATTTTCCCTTTATAACTGATGGAAACCAGTGGAAAGGGATATGTATGGACTCATAATAGAGAGATCGTCCAAGATTCGACTAAGAGGTAAGAGACAAAGAAGAAGAGAAGTGTATGATTTTGCCACTCGTTTTGCTACTTTCTTTTCTTATTTTCTTTTAGGTGTTCACATAACTTTGATAGTGTAAAGAAAATAAAACCAGTTTCTAGTTTACTTAAAGAAACTAGAAACCATGGAACCGTCTCGTCATACTCATGTGATGCTCGTATCTTTCCCAGGCCAAGGTCACGTAAACCCTCTTCTTCGTCTTGGAAAGCTCATAGCCTCTAAAGGCTTACTCGTCACCTTTGTCACCACAGAGCAGCCATGGGGCAAGAAGATGCGTCAAGCCAACAAGATTCAAGACGGTGTGCTCAAACCTGTTGGTCTAGGTTTCCTCCGGTTCGAGTTCTTCTCTGACGGTTTAGCCGACGACGATGAAAAAAGATTCGACTTCAATACCTTCCGACCACACCTTGAAGCTGTAGGAAAACAAGAGATCAAAAATCTCGTTAAGAGATATAACAAGGAACCGGTGACGTGTCTTATAAACAATGCTTTTGTCCCATGGGTATGTGATGTAGCCGAGGAGCTTCACATCCCTTCGGCTGTTCTATGGGTCCAGTCTTGCGCCTGTCTCACGGCTTATTACTATTACCACCACCGGTTAGTTAAGTTTCCGACCGAAGCCGAGCCGGACATTAACGTTGAAATCCCCTGCTTGCCATTGTTAAAGCATGACGAGATCCCAAGCTTTCTTCACCCTTCGTCTCCCTTTACAGCTTTTGGAGAAGTCATTTTAGATCAGTTCAAGCGATTCGAAAACAACAAGCCTTTTTATCTTTTCATCGACACTTTTCGCGAACTAGAAAAAGACATCATCGACCACATGTCACACCTTTGTTCTCAAGCCATCATCAGTCCTGTCGGTCCGCTCTTCAAGATGGCTCAAACCATGAGCTCTGACGTTAAGGGAGATATCTCTGAGCCAGCGAGTGACTGCATGGAGTGGCTTGACTCAAGAGAACCATCCTCAGTCGTTTACATCTCCTTTGGGACTATAGCCAACGTGAAGCAAGAGCAGATGGAGGAGATCGCTCATGGCGTTTTGAGCTCTGGCTTGTCGTTCTTGTGGGTTGTTCGGCCACCCATGGAGGGGTCACTTGTAGAACCACATGTTTTGCCTCGCGAGATCGAAGAAAAGGGTAAAATCGTGGAATGGTGTCCCCAAGAGAGAGTCTTGGTTCATCCTGCAATTGCTTGTTTTTTAAGTCACTGCGGATGGAACTCGACAATGGAGGCTTTAACGTCTGGTGTCCCCGTTGTTTGTTTTCCGCAATGGGGAGATCAAGTGACGGATGCGGTTTACTTGGTTGATGTTTTCAAGACAGGAGTGAGACTAGGCCGCGGAGAAGCTGAAAAGAAGATTATTTCGAGGGAGGTAGTGGTAGAGAAGCTGCTTGAAGCCACGGTTGGGGAAAAGGCGGTGGAGCTAAGAGAAAACGCTCGGAGGTGGAAGGCGGAAGCGGAGGCCGCGGTGGCGGACGGTGGATCATCTGATAGGAACTTTAAAGAGTTTGTAAACAAGTTGGTTACGAAACATGTGACGAGAGAAGACAACGGAGAACACTAGTGATAATGATGTCTCGTAAATATCCGAATGTTTGTTTTACCTCAAAAACCTTAACCACCACAACTTTTTCTTTAGCTATTATCGATCTGTCTTTTTTCTTTGTGAATAAACCGCATCAATCGCATCAATCGCATCTCATGACTGTAGTGATATCTATTATGTATCATTAATTTCAATTCTATTTCATTACTTCTCACATAAGCCGAAATCGATAATTACGTATTGTCTTCTTATCACCTTTTAATGAATGGGCTGTGATCATCGTTTGGTTACCAAATAGCTAGCTCTTCAAATTAAACATACAATATTCGAAGATTCAATAACGCATGTAACTAGCTTACTAATTACCTCAGGTATCATCTCTCGTTGGATAAAAAAGTTTGGTTGAGACATTTTCACCAACAATTTCCTAAAATCCAAATTTAAACGGACATATCAAATGTAGTATTAATCACAACCTAAATAAAAGAAATAATAATATTAGCCTCATCCAATGATCCAATGAAGAGGCTAATAATCACTAATCATGTTAACTACAAGACAATACGCAAAAGAGAAATTAGAGCATGATTATAGGTGGTCTCTTAGAAATTAATCTTAGCAATATTTAAGTAATTTATTTGTAAAAGTGATTGTTAAGAGATAGTATTTTTGAGTTAAGATTTTTGTGTGATTAATGGTAGGCTCTTAACATGTGGTTCTTAGAAAAATAAATATTAATATAAAAATAAAATTTATAATTATAGAAAATTTAATAATTGTTGCAAATTAAAAAAAATTAAAACATACATGAGATACAAAATTTGAAATTTGAAATGTTTTTGGTTACTAAAATTTTTAAGTGTTTTGAAGTGTTTTGGTTCATAATTATCGTGTTTTGGTTTAAAAAATTATGTGTTCTGGTTAAGTGTTTTGGTTATTATGTGTTTTGATTAAATTTATGTGTGTTTGGTTTTTGTGTTTTGATTTTGTGGAGAAAAGAAAGATATGGTTTTGAACTTGTCTTTTTGGTCTACACATAAACTAGTTTTTGGATTAAAAAGGGATTCAAATAGGGGATATAAATAGACAATGTGTGCATTAGTGTATTGCCTATACATCAACTATCTTTTTCACAACCACCATCAATCATTTCTAACCCAAAAGTCCATAACCCAAAAGCAAAACTGAGGTTTAGAAAACTAAGGTTGTGCTGGCTATCACTTGTAGTGATCTGGATATCAATCTGCTGTGTGGTTCTTGATCATAACCATTGATCTTACACATGAAGTATCTCACGTAAGAGCACGGTGTCATGGCTCGTAACCTCCATCTCAATACGTTCAACACTAAATGTTCCAACCTATTAATGTCACCATAACTAGAATGTTAACTTTGGATTTTAATGCTATACAATTAGAGACAACTGAGATATTAATAGAACCTGCAAATTTATTAACTCTTAAACGGCTCGTAACCTCTATTTTGGCTGCCAATGATAAACAAATTAGGAATCCCCTTGTTCACTTCTAACTAGTCAAACCCATCATCAACCCAAACATGAAAGTGCACTAGTTTAAAACCACAAGAATTCGTCAATGGAATATACAATAGAACTTCTAATCAACTAGAGAAACACCACATGAATTTCAAAATCTCCACTGCTCCTAATTCCGACCAGATTACGTCCACCAAAACACTAAATCTAAAATCAAGACTTCCTACATCTAAAAGCTTCATTGCCTAATTGTTCCAGTGAAGCATCAATCACCACAAAATAGATTATTGTTTTAGTTCTTCCCTAGTAATAAGAGCAGTTTCACATAAAAAAAAAAAAAACCTAAAACCAAAACCAAACCTCTCTACATATAAATTCATCATTCCCCAATTGTTCAAATCAACCATGAATCTAGCATCTCATAAACCCTAAGATTAGATTATTTTGGGTTCTTCTCTTTGATTTCAAAAAGACAAAAGAATCGGAACATAATTATTATTAATATACCTCATGATAATCAATGGTTCCAGCGGAATCAATGATGAAATTGGAATCGAGACCTCTCTTCTTCACGATATTCCGCTGGAGGTCATAAACATCGGAGACTCCTCCGATTGCTTCTGATTTGAGGCAAATCGCCTTCGGTTTCGTTTGGTAGAGAAACGCGTGAGAGAGAGAGAGGAGGAAGAGAGAAAAATATGGGGCAAAAAGAGAGAGGAGGAAGCCACGTATGCGTCTCTTAGCATGTTATTTGGCTCTTACCTAAGGAACGATACTTAAGTATTTAGTCAATTAATGATTTAATTTTATTAACAATTATTGCTAAGAATACTCTAAGAGACTTGCGATAATCATGCTCTTAGAGATGCAACTAAAGATTAAGAGAGAGAGATGAATAAATCTTTTACTAATTTATTAGCATTATATTTCTGTCACCATCTTGTCAAGAACAATATGTTTTAATCTAAGAAAAATCAAAAGAGAACAAAATTTGGGGTAAACAAACATGTATAGTCTTTAAAACTTTCTAAAACATTTTTATCGCAAACGACTGAATCTAGTGGGTTTGTGTCGGATACTTTTTGAAATCAAGAAATATCTACATTGATAGCATAAGAGGATAGCTCATTTTTCGTAACTGCTATGATAGATAACTTTTATTTTTGATTACGATATAATAGCACTAAAATCACGCTAAGTAAGAACATCACCAAATCAGAAGCTAAAATCACTTATTCCGCTAATATTTTGGTGAAAATTTCGCTTAAGCGCCAAAAATAATTTCAGATCTAAAACTTAAGCGCCAAAGCAAATAATAAACTTATTTTCTCTCTATGACAAAACATAAAAAAAAAAAAAAACCCCAAATCGAAAACCTATGTCTCTTCAACTCCGACTCCACCACCGTAAAGCTCTTCGCCGACCTCATTTCACGTCCATTCCATCCTTATCCTTCATCCTCCAGCTTGGTTCACATGGTCGATTCCTCCGATACAGATAACACCAATCGGGACACGGATCTAGATCGAGATCGAGAGGCCACCAAGTTTGTTTTTGAATCGTCACGAGGTTTGTTTCATGGTGAGCTAGAGGTCTTCGCTTCTCAGGTAAAGAGTTTCTGTTATTTCCTTTCTTGAATCTGTTGTTTCGCGGTTTTGATTCTCAGAATTTCATGAATTCGTGTGAAATATTCTTCCAAATCTGTATCTTGAATTATCGTCATGGTGTTGTAGTATTGAAGTAGAATTATTTTTTGTATCTTCTTAAAGCTTCTCAGACATGTACAAATTTTGAATTGGGCTGAATTTTGCAGTGTTTGGGAATAATGTTCCTGGAGAGAAGAAGTATGGTGGTTTCTTTTTCTTTTTCTTCTCTTGCTTCTTCTCTGGCCACAAACTACTCTTTCATGGTAAGATTTGTGAACTAAGAAAATGTCTTTGTCTATTTGTTTTTCTCAGTTATGCTCATGGTAAGATTTGTGAACTAAGAAAATGTCTTTGTCTATTTGTTTTTCTCAGTTATGCAGATTAATTAATCAATCTCTTCTTGGTGTAGGTTCTGAATTCTTACCTCTTGATATTGAGAAAAATCGTAAGCTTACTTTGTCTTAGTTTTGGTATATGTGTAAAAAGGCTACTGCCATGGCTATTAACCGGATTTTGAATCAAACACAGCTTACATGAAAAATCATATGTTGGTTTCATCGGAAATGAGGATTGTTGTTGTTTTGCCTTTGTTATAGGGTGAATGAATCTTTTGACGCTATATGGTGAGATCACATTTGTTTTGAACTTGTATTCTTTTGGTAAGTTGTGAAGAAGAGAGAGATGGAACCTTAGGAGTCTCTAGAAGTGACGCAGTCAAGGCTCTCTCCTACTCCGTTTCTTACTTTGCCTCAGTCAGGTTCGTCGAATTCTTTCTCGTAGCTTTCAACTTGTTTATCTTTTAAGAGAATAAGTTTTCGTTGCCTCAGTCAGGTTTGGTTTTATCTCTTAACTTCAGATGGTCCATTGAGCTATAAGTTTTCGTTGCATCAGTCAGGTTTGGTTTGATTGTACACCCCTAGATCTATTGGATTATATCAATTTCTATCACTCTTTGTCGCTTTAGATCTTATCCCCAAATTCTTCTTCTTCTTAAAAGCTTTTGGGTTAGATTTTGTTAGGTTTTGATTGATTTGGGTTGGATTTATTTCCTAGAAGCTTTTGACCGGAGTGGAGTGGTGTATGTTCTGATGAACCTTTTCATGCCCTTAAGGTGTTCGACGAATTGCCTCATTATTGGCTGGCTTGTTTCTTAATTGTTTTGTGTTGATTTTGGTTTTGTGGTGTTGCTCTTGAACCTTTCAGGTGCTTACGATTCTTGTCACTAACCTATAGAAGAGTAGAGTAGAGTTCTGGTTTATCTTTGATGGGGTTTTGTTTCTTACCATAAGTGAAGATGTTTCCAACTAGATCTTACTTTTGCATCTTTGGGATGGGTGTTTTTCCCAAGTCTAGAAATAAGTAATTTTCTGCTTAAGTTTTTGTTGGATTTCTTATCTCTTTTCCTTAATTTATGAAAGGTTGTGACTTTAGCAGTTTGATTAAACATATCTAAATGGGTATTGATTTGTTGATAGTTTAGAGAAAAGTCTTTGACTTTAGCAGTTTCATTGAACAAGTCTATATGTATCTGAGTTTTATTACAATTCATGATTGGATTTCTGATTTTGTTGAAAGAAAGTAATGAGTTTTAAACTTAATTTGGTAGCTTGTAGCTCTTCTGTGAAGAACGACTCATTGGATGCTCCTCTACGTCAACCTCTTTTAAGTTATCTCTCCTCAAGCACAAAGCTTTTACTCTAGAGGTTGGTTTGTGATTCATGTATTTTTGTGAGGCTTCTATGAACAGATTTCTGAGGTCATGGAGTTTAGATGTTTCATATTTGTTATGAGGAGTGCACTTATAGTTGTCTCTGCATTCAGATAATTGTGTTCACCAAAAACCCGAATCTAAGGGTACTTGTCTCTATTCAATGATTTCTTATTTTTGATTCGTTGGATATTGAGATGTCTTATAGATAACTTGACTGCTTATTACCTTATTCATGGCTGCAGGAAGATGAAAATTAAGAATTTGCAAAGTCTACGGGTATCAAGAGCTTTGTAAGGAACTACTCTCGGAACAACTGTGTACTTGAGTTCGTGAACGTTTATGAGCCAACCATTTGGATGTATCTAGGAAAGCTACGATTTTTATACCACAGTCGGCTTTGAAATCTATATTTTCTGTTATTAGTAATGTAAGTTAGTATAAGAATCGGTATAATATTATGTATTACTTGTTTTGGGTAATGTAATATTGTTATTGTTTATGTTGATGATTTATGGAATATAAATTTATTGATAAATCTAATTTAATAAATTCTGTAAAATATAAAATAGAAAAATTATATAAATCGAAATAGCAAAATAGCAAAATAAAAGTGTTACGACACAATATAACAAAACATCGATTAAAAGTGTTATGAAACAATATAAAGCAGCACTAAATATATGCTACAAGAAAGTATTTTAAAACAATTGATTAGTGCTATAATAGAACGGCCTATAATAGCATACGGAAAAAATGCTATCGTATATGGGAGGTCTACCATAACAGGGGCATAACATAGCATTTATGAAATCGCTATTAATGACATTTAATAGCTCTTTTCTCATGCTAACAATGTAGATATTTCTTGTAGTGTAAGCGACATTGGACGGAAAACATGGTCACCTTATCGGCCTCATTCCATGAGGAAGTTTCTTGTTAATTAGCAGTCTCAAGATGTGATCCTTATGGTCCAAATTGTAGAGTGATAGTAAAGGAACTGGTTTGATTTTTGTATAACCATATGATAATTAAAGAGTAGCTAAGAAATCTAAAAAGATAAATAGAATTAATAACTAAAATTTTCATAATTCATACAAAGATTGGAAATAAACCTAAGAGGCTAAACAAGATCTAAAACAAGCATAAGATCATTCTAATTAGGTTTTTATAGTATTTATATAAAAGAGAAAATGAACCAATGGAAAGAAATACCTATGTATATATGGCGCTAACAAATAGAGATCGTCCAAGATAGTACGAAGAGATAAATAAAACTTGGAAGAAGAAGTGTATGATATTTTTGCCACTCGTTTTGCTACTTTCTTTTGTTATTTTGTATTTAGTGTTGAGTGTTGAGTGTTGAGTGTTGAGTTCACATCAATTGGATAGTGTAAAGAAAATAAAACATATAAGCCCTCTTCTTCGTCTTCTTATAGAAAATAGAAATCCATGGAACCGTCTCCACTTCCTCATGTAATGCTCGTATCTTACCCAGGCCAAGGTCACATAAGCCCTCTTCTTCGTCTCGGAACGCTCATAGCCTCTAAAGGCTTAATCGTCACCTTTGTTACCACAGAGCAGCCATGGGGCAAAAAGATGCGTCAAGCCAACAAGATTCAAGAAGGCGTGCTCAAACCCGTCGGTCTAGGTTTCCTCCGGTTCGAGTTCTTCTCTGACGGCTTAACTGATGACGACGAAAAAAGAACCGACTTCAATGCCTTCCGACCAAACATTGAAGCTGTCGGAAAACAAGAGATCAAAAATCTCGTTAAGAGATATAACAAGGAATCGGTGACATGTCTTATAAACAACGCTTATGTGCCGTGGGTATGTGACGTGGCCGAGGAGCTTCAAATTCCTTCTGCTGTTCTATGGGTCCAGTCTTGCGCTTGTCTCTCTGCTTATTATTATTACCACCACGGGTTAGTTAAGTTTCCGACCAAAACCGAGCCGGACATCGACGTTGAAATCCCTTGCTTGCCATTATTAAAGCATGACGAGATCCCAAGTTTTCTTCACACTTCGTCTCCTTATACACCTTACGGAGAAGTCATTTTAGACCAATTCAAGCGACTCGAAAACGACAAGCCTTTCTATCTTTTCATCGACACTTTCCGCGAACTAGAAAAAGATATCATCGACCACATGTCAAACCTTTGTCCTCAAGCCATCATCAGCCCTGTCGGTCCGCTCTTCAAGATGGCTGAAACCATAAGCTCTGACGTTAAAGGAGATATCTCCGAGCCAGCGAGTGACTGCATAGAGTGGCTTGAAGAGAGAACCATCTTCAGTCGTTTACATCTCTTTTGGGACTATAGCCAACTTGAAGCAAGAGCAGATGGAGGAGATCGCTCATGGCGTTTTGAGCTCTGGCTTGTCGTTCTTATGGGTGGTTCGGCCTCCCATGGAGGGGTCACTTGTAGAACCACATGTTTTGCCTCGAGAGCTCGAAGAGATGGGTAAAATCGTGGAATGGTGTCCCCAAGAGAGAGTGTTGGCTCATCCTGCAATTGCTTATTTCTTAAGTCACTGCGGATGGAACTCGACAATGGAGGCTTTAACTTCCGGAGTCCCTGTTGTTTGTTTTCCGCAATGGGGAGATCAAGTGACTGATGATGTGTACTTGGTTGATGTTTTCAAGCCATGAGTGAGACTAGGCCGCGGAGAAGCTGACAAGAAGATTGTTTCGAGGGAGGTAGTGGTGGAGAAGCTGCTTGAGGCCACGGTTGGGGAAAAGGCGGTGGAGCTAAGAGAAAACGCTCTGAGGTGTGATGTGAGTCAAATTAAGACCTAAGACTACTCTCTCAAATAAGAGATGTGTGTAGCACTTTAGAGTCGAATTCCACAAAGCTCTCGTATTCACACAATAGACTAACATGTTTTGAATTAAGCTAAACAGAAAATATAAATATTAAAAATAAAAAAAAAGCAATTTAATTCGGGTTTTAAAGCAGATGATGAAAACGTTAGGCTTATGGATTTTTCAAGAAATATACTAATAGTAAATCTACCAAATTAATTAGGATTGTTATCGAACCATTCTAGAACTTAAATCACTAATGTATAGCCAACCGCCCTCTCGAATGCTTTGACTAACAAGTCTAATATCAAGTAATTCCACCCTCTCGAATGCGAACTCCTAGATCTAGACTAGCATTAAAAACATGTTTGATATGTTCACAAATATTCCTAAACCACCTCTCGTATGAATCTAGAAATCTCTGCCCACCTAAGATAGCTCCAGTAATAGATGACCTCTCGAATCTACCTATTATTCTATGATCAAGTTCTAGTTAACTACTCTAGAACTAACATTAAGAACAACCTAAGGTGAAAAACTCTAAAGATTAATCCTAATAGGTAATCAATTTACTAATTCATCTAAATCCCTAATGAGAATCCCTAAACCTAACAAGCAAACTACGTACTCAGAAATGGAGAATGAAACAAACAACATGATTGAATAGAATTGAATTAAGAAATCAAGAGAAGAAGTAAAAGAGTTTAAGAAATCTTCTCTGGAAGAGCTCTCTCCAATTATCTCCCAAAGGGTTCAAGCTCCAAAAATACAATAGAATGAGATATGAGAGATGTCTCTAAAACAAAACCCTAAAAATCTATATATATGTTCTTAAAAACGTGCATGGACTTCTTTGAAAATAGGAAAAACTTCTGGGCACTTTTTGCAAATCTTCATAACTTCAAAAAGACGTGAAATCGAATTGCCATCACGAATTGGTGTCGACCGACACCAGGGGTGGTGTCGATCGACACTTACACCAATTTTCGTCTCCGAATTGCTCTTGTAGCATAACTTCTCTGTTTTACTCCAGAATGATCCATAATCTCCAAATTGGTCCCGAACGTGTAAAAACCTGAAAAGACTCAAAAATAATCTAGAAACAACAAAAGACTCTAAAAATAATGCATATATCATGGCTAAAAACGGTAAAATCCATGATATATCAAGGTGGAAGGAGAAGGCAGAGGCCGCCGTGGCGTACGGTGGATCATCCGATAGGAATTTTAGAGTGTTTGTGGACAAGTTGGTGAGACAGGAATTGAAGTGATGGTCCGAATGCAAAGATGGCGTGACTAGGAAGATGGACTGGAAGACACGTGGCGGTGATGCACTAGATATTATTGCGTTTATAAAAGCAAATGTTACCTCAATTAGTTTTTTCATGAGAAATTTTCCTTTTTGTAAAACTTCTTCATCTCGTACTTCTTCCTCATTGTTTTGTTGGAGTGATTCCTATCACTTTAGTCTAGCAGATGAGAAGTGGATATATGTTTCTATAAACAGTGATTCAGTTTACGATTTTATCCAATTGTTGGGAATTTTATAAACTTGCGTTAAAAAGGTATCATAGAAAAATCGTTTCTTGGCGGAGACACGATCGCAAGCATTGTTGAAAGAAATGGTGGTTTAAGAGATGGAGGATATGTTCAGACCGTGGATCAAACTAAATGTCGCTAAAACTCAATCATTAGAAGGAATGATAACACAACAAATCAGAAAATTGATAAGAGCATCGTAGATATGTTCGAAGCCATTCGTTTGCTCTATATAGATGTGCAAATCATACTCCAACAATATCCATAGTTTTTATTTAGGGTTTAGGGTTTAGGGTTTAGGGTTTCGACTGTGCTAAACCTTAATGGTTGTTGTATGGATTTTGATTACCCACAAGGCCACAAGGTCCTCAATTTCGCATACTACATTGTACTTATCATTGGTATGGACTCGTATCAGAACAAAAAATAGTTCAGCATAAAAGAAAATTTGAAAAAAGAAAAGTAATCAGAATGAAAAATAGGGTTGTGGTGAAATCATTTGGTGACTTTTTTCTCTCTAAACCTGCGATACTAAAGGCGACTTTTTTCTCTAACCTAATTGCCGCCGCTGCCGTCGGCTTGGCCTCACGCCACCGTCGAGAACATCTTCTTCCTTCCCCCTCTTCCTTTCTTCGATGGCTGAGTCTTCTGCTCCTCCATCGCTCGCAGATCCACCGGATCCTTCCTCTTCGTTGGCTTTAGATCCTGTCACTCTTACCATTCACCGTGATTTGGGTCCTGTTTCGATCTCTTCCGATCTGGGCCATTTATCTAACCATCCTTCTCTAGCCGTCAATGCTTCTGATTTGGTGACTATCCCTATTAGTTCTATTGATTCCTCCGATGTCTCCGTTGTTAAGACCGGGCTCCCGATTGATCTTCTTGATAAGGTCTCTGCTGATTGTTCTCCTCCTGTTATTGAAGATACTCAACTTATGTGGGCTGATAGGTTCAATCCTTCTCTTAGGAACCTCACCAAAGCTGCTCAACCAATTTTCTTAGATGATGGAACACCTACAGTTCGTGCTCCTGCCTCGGTCGTCCTCAAAGCCTCAGATACTTGAAAGGACCATATTGTGGCTCATTTCCATGGAAACCCTCCACCAGCTGGTAAAATTTTTGTGGATCTGAATCCAATTTGGGGAAAGGAGGGTCGTATAAGCGTTCGATGTCTTCCTTCTGGTTTAGTTCTTATCTTCATT